AAGGAAGGACAAAGGTAAGTAAGCTGAAATAGGAAAAGCCAAAGGCTGTTATATCTGTGCTAATTACATTATTTTCCCATTAACCTAACAAAAAGAATAACATGAGAAATGTCTAATTTTGAGCCATCTTGCCTCTCAAGTCTTCTATTGGCCATTTTTATTTCCTCTTCAGAGAAGACTCTCTTTAAGTCTTTAGCCTGCTTATTAATGGGACAGTTGTTTCTTTGAGGATTTGTTTTTAAGGGATTGAATTTTATGAGTTCTAAGTATATTTGAGTTATGAGGCCCTTATCTGTTGTATAGCTAGTGAAGAACTTCTCCCAATCCTTAGGCTATAGACCCATTTCTTTGATGAACATCATTGCAAAACTTCTCAAACATATTGTGGCCAATCAACTTCAACTACTCATCAGAAATATCATACACTATGATCAAACAAGATTCATTTCAGGGATGCAAAGCTGGTTTAAATATAGAAATCAATTAATGTAATTCACCACATCAACAAGGGCAAGGATAAGGACCATATGAGTATCTCAATAGATGTAGAAAATGCATTGACATGATCCAACACCTTTTTATGATGAAAGTTCTGAAGAAATAAGGAATCCATAGAACATTGCTCAATATATTAAAGACTGTGTATGACAAACCCACAGCTAGCATTATACTTAATGGCAAAAAGCTAAAGCCCCTTCCTCTAAACTTGGGAACAAAACAAGGATGTCCACTCTCTCCAATCCTCTTCAATTTAGTATTAGGATGCCTAGCTAGTGCAATAAGACAAGATGCAAACATAATTGGGATCCAAATAGGGAAATACGAAGTAAAACTCTACATCTTTGCAGATGATATGATCTTGTATTTAAAGAGCTTCATGGACTCCATTCCCACGTTACTGGAGCTGATCCAAAACTTTGACAAAGTAGCAGGGTATAAAATTAACCCATAAAATTCAACGGTTTTTCTGGGTAGGTTCCATATCTTACCTATGATGAATAATTCTGCAATAGTTGTGCTGGGCGCTTTAGTATGGCCTTTTTTTTTTTGTCATCATATGGTATATGTATACACAGTGGAATTCTATGCTTCCATCAGAAAGAATGACAGCACCCCATTTGTTAAGAAATGGAAAGACTTGGAAAATTTTATTAAGTGAAGTAAGCCAAACCCAAAGAAACATAGGTCCCATGGTTTCCCTTATTTGCAATAATGTCTAGGATAATCTTACCAGACAAGCAGAAAAGCTTGAAAGCTATATACATATGACCATATAAGATGATGCTAAGCAAAGTGAACCCCAAGATAGGGATACAAGAAGTTTTTTCTTTGTTGTTGTTTTTGTAGTTTTTTGTTTGTTTTTGTCGGTCGTGGGGCTTGATCTCTGGGCCTGGACACTGTCCCTCAGCTCATTAGTTCAAGCAAGCACTCTACCACTTGAGCCACGGAGCCACTTCTGGTTTTCTGGTGGTTTATTGGAGATAAGAGTCTCACGGATTTTCCTGCCCTGGCTGGCTTTGAATCTCAATCCTCAGATCTCAGCATCCTGAGTAGCTAGGATTACATGTGTCAGCCACTAGTGCCCGGCTCGCTGTTGTTTTTAATGTACTATTTGATTTTTTTGTTTCTTTTGTATGTTCTTCCCCTTATGGTATAACCCCTATTGTCACTGTATTTGATTCCGGTGCCCTGCATCTTGTATATGCATTTTTCTAATTGGGGGAGGGGAAAGGAAACAACAAAATGCTGAAACAAGGATACAGTTTGAACCATTGTAAGAATGAGACAAACAAGACACTATGTTGAAAACAAACTTTACAACTTTAGGGCAGGAAGGGAGGAAATTGGGAGAAGGGAGGAAGGCATGGTAGGGGAAATCAAAGGAGGAGGTAACAATGCTTGATAGGAAATGTACTCATTACCTTACTCAGGTAACTCTAACCCCTCTATACAGTATTTTTACAATAAAAAGTAAATAATGGAAATTGAATAAATATAATAGAAGGAAAAATACAACAAGTTTGATGTTTATAAATAAACACTTATAATTGATACCATAAAAAAATCAATGGCTTTTCCGTATGTTAATAAAGAAGTGAGCACAGCTGAAATCAGGAAAGCAACTCTTTTTGTAATAGCTCCCCCCAAATAAAATACCTATATGTTAACTAAAGAAGTGAAGGATCTCTACGATGAAAACATTAAAAACTTGAAAAGGGAAATTAAAGCAGAACCAAGGAAGTGGAAAAACCTCCCATGATCCTGGATTGGGAGGATTAACATTTGCGAAATTAGCCATACTGACAAAGATTATCTACAAATTCAATGCAATACCCATCAAAATCCTAATCTCATTCTTCAATGAAACACAAAAAGTAACCCAAATATTTATATGGAACAATAAAAGAACCCAAACAGCAAAAACAATCCTTAACAGAAAGAACAGTGCTGGAGGAATATCAATACCAAACTTCAAACTCTACTCCAAAGCCATAGAAATCAAAATGGCTTGATACTGGCACAAGAACAGTCCTGAGGACCAATGGAATAGAACTAAAAACCCAGAAATGAACCCACAGACTTATAGCCACCTAATCTTCAATAAGGGAGTCAAAAAATAGAATGGAAGAAAGACAGCCTCTTCAGTAATTGGTGCTGGCAAAATTGGTTAAACTCCTGTAGAAAATTAAAGTTAGATCCTTTTATATCGCCCTGCACCAGAATCAGCTCCAAGTGGATTAAAAACCTCGAAGTCAAAGCAGACATCCTGAAAACATTACAGGAAGGAATAGTAGAAACTCTAGGCCTCTTTGGCACAGGCTGAAATTTTCTTAATAGAGACCCAGAAACACAACAAATCAAAAAACGGTTGGACAAATGGGATTGCATGAAACTACATGGCAAAGGACATAGCTAACAAATAATAGAAAGCCCACAGATTGGGGAAGATCTTCACTAGCCATACAATAGGACAAGTGTCTCCATTTTCCCCCTATACCTTTGTCTTGCATATAATTTTATCTGATTTGAGAATGTGAAAGGAAGCACAGAAATGGCACAAAATGTGAACAAATTCAGCATTAATACCCACTAGAGACTCTGCTGGAAATGAGCTATACAACTTGGCAGAAGTGGGGATGAGAACAAAAAAACTGAGAAAATGAAGAAGATGAGACTGTTCAAAGAGAACAGTGTCAGGTACTCAATACCTGACTTAAGAAACTGTAACCTCAATGTATGCATCTTTAACAATAGAATTTACAGAAAAAGTAAGTTCTCTCCTGAATATTATACAACAGAAAGGTATTTTTTCATTTCATATGGCACACATTTATTAATTGCTTAAATTGAGACAGAATGTAGAGGAACAGAGAGCAAGAGCAATGTTTTATCATACGAACTATTTTTTATTATTGTTTTGTCCTATTCATTGGCAGTACCAGAGTTTGAACTTGGTATTTCATGCTTCCTAGAAAGGTGCTCTACAGCTTGAATTATGTCTCTAGACCAGAGAGGCAAATTCAACATGTTGCTTTTTTGACTAGCTTATTTTTATACTAAAAACCTTATCCACTTATATTCACTTTGAGTCAATATGTAGTTTTTCATGTTAACACTTTAAAATTTATAGTGACAGTCACAAAATCAATACCTATGCTAAAACTTTCTAATTATTAGGAGTCTTAATTTAATATATATGTACATATATTAACATATATGTATGTATAATAATGAAGAAATCCTCTATAGGATAAGGTTCTTACATTTTTCATTTTGTAACTAGATAGGAAAAGCAACAAATAACAATTCAGTCATTGAACTTCCATCCTTGAACACATGCCAAGTAATTTTTTTCTGGAAATTGGTCCTGAGAATGTCACAGTGTTGCCCAATATTGTACATCCTTTAAATGAGGTGCCCTGGATCTAGCATGCTGGGAGATGAGGTAAACACTACTCTATAGAAAATCAAGCACTTGTTCAGCATTCTTTTGAGGCAGAGCTGCTCAGTATACTTTTAATTAAATCAACCGGAACAAATTTTTCTAGAATGCCTCAATTAACCACAGAGGGAAAGAAACAGAAAGTTCAAAATACAAAAACCAAATACATATACATGGGAAAACAAATGCTGCAACATCACAAAACACTTTACTTCCTTTAATTCTTTTTTTTTTCACTTTTTCAGAGACAAATTAAGGATTGACCAATTCTATGGAAGATTAATTCTTTAATTTTCACCATCTTTGGCTAACAGTAAGTATTCTTACAAAAACTGTGAAATCATATCAGTTAACAGTCACATTGTTAGAACAATAATATTGTAGACGTATGACGTGGGCCTTATGCTAAGTAATGTAAGCTTGATTTAGTTTGTTCAAAATATTATTTTTGAAGCAATTTTAAATGATTTAGAATCCTTCATGAGTGGTATGATACAAATGTTCTCTAGTACAATACCATAAAGTGAACAATTGGAATTTGATTTCATCAAAATTGCAAAAGAATGAACTGTACATGATACTCTGAAGTTATCTCCTCTCATGGACTTTGAGTAACATTCTTCTCAGAATTACAGAAATAATTATCAAGATTAAGATGAAGTTATTTGAATTTTCACTTGAGTTTCTGCATGTAGAAAATCTTCTTCATGAAAGATAGCATTTGTAACAATTTCAGATCCTTTGTATGTTCAACTGTCAGTGTGTCTACATGCTTACTGACTGATATCTGAGTCAAACAGGGTAAATTTATTACCAATTTTGAGAAAATTACTTTTAAAAAATGAACACTGAACCATCCATAGAATAAACCTTCTGTTTTTTTTTTGCAGTCCTTGGGCTTGAACTCAGGGCCTGGACACTATCCTTGAACTTCCTTTGCTCCAGGCTAGCACTCTATCGAATGAGCCCCAGGGCCACTTCCAGCATTTTCTGTTTAGATGGTACTGAGGAATCAAACTCAGAGCTTCATGCATGCTAGGCAAGCACTCTTTATACTATGAGAATCTGGAATCAGACGTGTGTGACATCCTTCATCCTTGTGGGACTGACAGATGCTGGAGAGATCCAGAGGGCTCTCCTTGTGCTGTTTCTCCTGATCTACCTGATTTCTCTGCTAGGCAATCTAGGCATGATCATGATAATTCGCCTGGATCTCCAGCTCCACACCCCTATGTATTTTTTCCTTATACAACTCTCATTCCTTGACCTATGTTATTCAAATGTCATCACACCTAGAACCTTAGGGAACTTGTTGACTTCCACCAAGAGCATTTCGTTCGTGGGCTGCTTCACCCAGATGTTCTGTTTTATCATGTTTAGTGCTACAGAATGTTTTCTTCTCTCTGCAATGGCCAATGATCGCTACATAGCTGTCACTAAACCTCTACATTATCCAGCAATTATGTCGCCAAGATGTCGTTCGTGGGCTGCTTCACCCAGATGTTCTGGTTTAGTGCTACAGAATGTTTTCTTCTCTCTGCAATGGCCAATGATCGCTACATAGCTGTCACTAAACCTCTACATTATCCAGCAATTATGTCGCTGCTACATGATTGGCTTTATAGATTCCTCTGTCATCGTCCTTTGGATGAGCAGGTTACAATACTGTAACTCCAATGTAATCCATCATTTTTTCTGTGACACATCCCCAATATTAATTCTGTCCTGCAATGACACCTATAATATTGAAATCGTAATATTCTTCATTGCTGGTTCCACACTGATGGTCTCTCTTTTCATAATATGTGTGTCCTATGTGTCCATTCTGCTGACTGTTTTGAAAATCAGTTCTACTTCAGGAAAGCAGAAAGCCTTCTTCACCTGTACCTCCCACCTGCTGGGAGTCACCATTTTTTATGGCACCACCATCTTTACTTATTTAAAACCAAAAAAATCTTATTCCTTGGGAAAGGATCCAGTGGCTTCTGTGTTTTACACGATTGTGATCCCCATGCTCAACCCACTCATTTATAGTCTTAGGAACAAGGAAGTGAAGAGTGCTTTCTTTCGGGTTATGCAGAAGAAAGAGAGTTTCAGGAGACTAAAATAACAGTTATGCTAAGCATTTCAACCCAACTTTTTTTAGTTTTATTTGGAGGGGGACAGGATGTCCTGTTTCACTCTATAAAAACACTGAAACCTTCTTTCATATTTGTCTGGAATTTTTTGTGCATATGTCTGAGACTATACTTTCAGAAACTCATATCATAATTGCATAGCATGAAAAATATGGTAAGTGTATGGTCTCCATATATGATTTCCTTTTAAGTGGAAGTAATGTTCCAAATATGATGTCATGCCTACTGCTATGTTACTGTGTTTAAAATATTATTACACGGTTGTAGAGTGAGGATATGATTCCCTAACTTAGGTCTTGAATTCTAATTCATCCCAATCAACATTATGCTTTCATCATTATCCTCTATTTTTCTTTTTTTCCCATCTCTGTCCTCAAGTTATGTAGTATAGCATCTGTGTGAGGAAATAATTTGTACTGTGGCACGTTTTTGGATATTAGATATACCTTTGAAGGTATTGAACTCACAAATATTAAAATAGCTATAAATACTCCAAAGGAAACTTTTGAGTTAGAATTCATTATAGGAAAATAGCATATAATATGTTGGAGAATATTTGTAAACTATGGAAGTGTAATAAGAAAGAGAAACATTGTGAATATTGGAAATAGTGATGTGCATGTTTTGTATGTAAATTAGTGTGAATAATGTATATGTGTGTATATAGATATATAGATATATAAATATTAGAATTAGCAACAAAATTTCTGCAATTTCCTAGGCTCTCTTTTACAGATTTCTTAAATGACTAAAAGCTATCTAACATTTGATAATGTCTTGTCAACCAAGCTGTGAAATGAATATGTTCTCAATTATATGTGTGGAATGAAGTCTGTTAAAAAGAACGTGTGTCATGCTGTAGGGTATGAATTCACATGCAGCAATTATCTTCTAAACATTAAAAACCCGTTCTCTATAACACATCAAGAATATACTCAACTGTTTGATTACTTTTATCTGATTCCTTCAGATGTGTAATAATCTTTTTTTAATAAGGAAAGTATTTTTTTTAATTTTTATTTTGTAAATAGGGGTTACAATTACATGGGCAAGATAATGAGTACGTTTCTTATCAACATTGTTGCCTCCTCCTTTGTTTCCCCTTCTAATCCCTTCCCACCTCCCTCCCCCCCTCCACCAAAGTTGTAAAGTTTGTTTTTCAACATAACAATTTGTACATATCATTGTTGCAATGAGTCCACTTTCATCCCTATTTAAATGATTTGTTTTTTCCCTTCCCCTCCACAAATTATACCAACATCAAATAAAGTGAAAGCAGGGGTTGTACTAATATTCTTTATGAACAAACTCTTCAATTAAATACTGGATATAGATTTTTAATATATTTTATACATAGCTGTTGTAAAACAATAAATTGACAATTGATTACATTTTGTGACATTCTATAAACAGATAGTATACAGTAATTTCTTTATAAGTTTTTATCCACATTTTCTTATGTTGGGGCCTTCATTATCTCTGTGATTTAAAGGTTAGTGAATTAATGTGTACTTCTCTTTTCTTCTTCTTTCCCTTTTTGCCTTTACTTTTATTATTATTTTTACTCCTTTTATTTTGGTATTGTTTTCATTTTACCAGTTCTGGCTTTTGAAATCGGAGACTCTACACTGGCTAAGAAAACATCATGCTATTTAAACAACACCTTTAGCCTTATTTACTCTAGTTTATTTTTTTCATTTTTATGTGAGATCTTTAATTTTTTCTAACCACTGGCCTAGAGACAGGATATTCCTATGTACATTTACTGTACAGCTCAGGCATGGCTTTTTTTTAAACATGTTTCCCCACTTTGCCTGGGATAATCTCAAACTTTTATCACCCTCCTACCTTGCTTCCTGTGTAAGTAGAATTACAAATATAAGTCACCACACATGGCCCTATAGTTCTAAATTTCATGAGCTTTTATTTTTATTGTAGAAAATTTGGTAACTTTAAGATGCATTGTACTGATAAAATGACATATCAGTTTGAACTCTGTGTGTACAAATATTTGATGTTAATGTAAATAAATACCACATTCCTACAGGGTATGATTATAACATTTGTTCTTGACAAGTTAACAATTTAAGGTAAAATTATATTTGAATATATTCTCTATATATTTCAATGTGGCTAAAATAAGTTTTGGGATGTTAATAATTTAAATTTTTCTTTTCTGTAATTGTGAAAATATTGTACTGAGGGGTTGCAATTACATGAGCAAGGGAAAGGGAAAAAAACAATCGTTTAAATAGGAATACAGGTGGACTCATTGTAACAATGAGATGTACAATGTACAAGATGTTATGTCAAAAAACAAACTTTACAACTAAATTTTTCTTCTATTGAAAGCTATCGATAATATTTTTCATTTTTTCAAAAAATATTCCAAATTTTGACTTTATTCTTGTTTTTCAGAGTTTTTCTTTATCCATAATGACTTGTTTTCCTGAATATGTATGTCATGTAGAAATCATATTGTTACTCATATTTTTTATTGTAATTCTTGGAGAATAGAAATGAGAAGTAACTAAATGGCTAATGTCTACTGATACCCTGTTCTAAGTCATCTTGATCTTGAAAAGGCATAGGTCAGATAGTAAAGGCTTTCTTGACTCTTCTATTTCTGTTCTGTCAACGTACATTGAAAAATGGTAAATGGAGTGTAGAACTTTATGGTTAGTGTTTAATCTCATCATTTAACAGAATGAGCATTTATGAGATAGATTGCTTTGTATTCAGAAAGCAAAAGTGATTTTAATCATATGAAGAGTACATCCCGAAAGGTTGTAATTCCCAATGACAGAAAGTTATATAAATTTTGGTCCTTGAGTCTACAGACTCATTGGTCATATCTGTCATGTTCATATAGATTCTGATGCATGTGATTCTCAATGTTATTTTACATGTTCCTTTCTCAAGGAACGGTCATTTGTGTTGTAACAATTTGTTTGCAAACAAAAAATCTTGCATTCCTAAAAGCTGGTTTCTACTGTACAGTTTTTTTCTTTCTTCAGACAAAATAAAATAATTAAGAAATGTAAAATCTTCCTTCCTTCCTCTGTACATCACTTTGTGTATAAAAAAACAAAAAGACTTTAAATAAAAAAACAAAAACTAACAACAACAACACTTATGTCCAGTGATATTTAATGTGTATTTGGCATACAAGACACACATTTGTTTAAACTGGGAGACACATTCATTTAAACTGGAATAATGTTGTATACTAATAGTTGTAACTAAATCTCCTGATCATTTCTTAGTTTCTGGCCATACAGATTTAGAGGGGCATCCTTTATGTTTTCTTTTAGCTTTACTCAATTCTAAAACCATGGATCAATTACCAACTTCTTTCAACAATTTCTTCATTGCTTGCTTCACATCTTTGTTTCTCAAACTGTAGATGACAGGATTCAGCATGGGGATCACAATGGTGTAAAATATCGACACAATCATGTCATGGTTTGAATCATAGCTGGAACTTGGTCTCATGTAGCTGAAGAGGATCGTCCCATGATAAATGGACACTCCAGTCAGGTGAGAGCCACATGTGGAGAACACTTTTCTCCTCCCTTCACCAGAACGCATTCTCAGAATGGCCAGCAGAATGAAACCATAGGACACCAGGACAATCAGAATAGTGACTATCTCAATACAGCCCACAAAATAGAAGAGTAGAAGCTGGTTTATTTCAGTGTCAGAACAAGAAATAGCTAGTATTGGGGGGATGTCACAGAAGACATGCCTAATTTCATTGGTTCCACAGAAGGACAGAGTGAAAGTGGCCACCGTGTGTATTGTGCCATGTATAAATCCAGCGATATAGGAGGCAATGATGAGGGGCACATAGACTCTGGGTGACATGCTCACTGAGTATAGAAGAGGGTTGTAGATGGCAACATACCGATCATAAGCCATTGCAGCCAATAGAAAGCATTCTGTGGTTCCTAAAGTCACAAATAGAAGCATCTGGGTTGCACATCCAATAAAGGAAATGGATTTGTCTTCTGCTAAGAAATTGACCAACATTTTGGGGGTCACTACTGTAGAATAACAGGCATCCAAAAATGATAAGACACTGAGGAAATAGTACATGGGGTTGTGGAGGCGGGCATCCCCTATGACCAGTACAACCAGGCCGAAATTTCCTATCAGTGTGAAGAGATATATCGCAAGAAAGAGGAAGAATAAGACAACTTTCAGGTCAAAATCATCTGTGAAGCCCGTCAATATAAAGATGGTGACTTCAGTCATGTTCTTTAAACCAAGCTTATGTATGTCCAAGTCTAATGACACTCTGTCCATTGCACTATTGAATTCTTGCTTCCAAATGATGAACCCCATGGGAGTAAAGTCTGTCTCTATCCTTGTTGAATCTATCTGTGCTGAAACACCTTAACTTCTTTGGTAGCAATGAGATCGGCTGTAGTGAAGAATTTCAGACATGCACATCAATTTTACTTTAAGAGGCAAATTAAGATATAATTTTCATTCCCTTATTAGCTAATTTTAACCTGTAGACAATCTTGTGAACTAATATAATTTTATATATTTCAATGAATATTGCAAGTATTTTCTACCCACGGAATCTGAAAATTCACCAGTGTGCATACATATAAGCATACTTGAGTAAAAAAAAAATATATATATATATATATATATTAATAAAAAGAACATACCCGTAGTAATCCAAGTTTTGCTACACAGCTCATGATATATCTTTCATATTTCAGGCCTCTTAAAATAAACAAGCCAGCCAGGGTCAGTGACTCATGGCTGTATTCCTAGCTATTCAGGAGGTTGAAATCTGAGGATCATGATTCAAAAACAGCCCAGACAGGGAAGTTTTATGACTCCCAGCTCAAATTAACCACCAGAAAATCGAAGTGGGGCTGTGGCTTAAGTGGTAGAGCCCTATCCTTGAACTGAAGGGCTCAGAGATAGCACCCAGGCCTAGAGTTCAAGCCCC